CATCCATTATCTTTACCCGCTTATTCCATTTTGGGTCACGGGGGTCGTTGGTGCCCATGTCCGGCAATCACTGTGCGAGGGGCGGGGGACACCCTGGACAGGTCTCCAGTCCATCACAGGGACACATAGAGACAAACGAGACAAACAACCATTCACTCTCTCACTCACACCTAGGGACAGTTCAGAGTTACCAATCAGCCTAACATGCATGTTTTTGGTCTGTGGGAGGAAACTGGAGTACCCGGAGAAAACCCACGCATGCACGGAGAGAACATGCAAACTCCACCCAGAAAGGCCCCTGGACCGGGGTTTGAACCAGGGACCTGCTCGCTGAGAGGCAGCAGCTCTACCAGCTGCACCACCGTGCTGCCCGCCAAGAAAAATGTTAATGGAAAATAAATTGACATATTTTTACAAAAGATCAGATGAAGACAACTGGCATGAAGAAGAACTTCCAGCTCCATCTCAATGTACCTGTGATAGTTTAATAAGTGTTTTGTTACTGTCCTACAGTTTATTGATGCTGATATATTCTTGTAATAATTCTTATTTCTTGTTCTGTCTTGAAAGAGTCTCATCTCAACTTGACCCATGATCACCAAACACTAAACTAATAATATAAAACTAATGTAAATGAACAGTCCTGCAGTAAATACCAACTTTGTGAAGGTTATGGTGTTAAAGTAATTTTATTCAAACATCTTGATTCAGCTGTTAATGATTAATAGAAGACAGAAAATGAGATCTTGTACCTTTGTGATACTTTGAATGCAACATTCAGTTCATGAAGTCATTCTCCTCTGGTTTACCTGGAAAACATGAAAACATTGACTCATCTCCACAATCACGTTTTTCTTTAATGATAATATCACAATTTATGCTGCAGTCTTTGACAAATGATCTATAACTTTAACTAAATGACGTCAGTCTTGTTGTCATGTTGTCATCATTCTTTGTTAAATCTGGTCTCTCTTGTAAATGAGTCCTCGAGGCTCAATGGGATTTACCTGTAGAAATAAAGGTTGAATGAATCTCTCTGG